CATCTTCCTTTTTTGAAAATGGTAAGAGCTTCGCGGATTTAGACAGGGTCGTTTTCAAGATGTGGTTCCCGCCTTAGCGCCACGCACACTGAATTTAGAAAATTTACAAGAACTTCGCGGATTGAGCGAGGGTGGTTTTCAAAATGCGGTTTTCGCCTAAGCGCCGTGCGCATTCGTTTTTGAAACTTTGCAAGAGCTTCATGGATTGAGGGTGGGCCATTTTTCAAATTGCGGTTGTCGCCGTAGCGTCGCGCAGACTCGCTATTAAAATGTGCACGAACTTCACGGATTGAGGGAGAGGTGTTCAAAATGTGGGTCTCGCCGTAGCGCCGCGCACATTCGTTCTCTTTAACAACAAAAAGGCGCGAGCTTCACGTATTGAGGGCAGGTCGTTTTCAAGATGTGGTTTTCGCCGTAGCGCCACGCACATTTTTTTAGAAAACTCGTTTGGAAATTCATCCGAAGTTCACGGATTGAAGGCGGCTCGTTTTCAAAATGTGGCCGCCGCCCTGGCGCAGGGCATTCTCGTTAGTGAACATGCAAGAATTTCACGGATTGAGGGCGTGCCGTTTTCAAAATGTGGTTCTCGCCTTGGCGTCGCGCACATTCTATCTAACCAGCCTGGCGAAGAACCCAACCTTTTTCTAATACAGAAGGGGCGAACATAAACAAGACGGCTCAATGCAAAAGAACTGTGCGCAGGATCTACAATATCCTTGACGATTTCGCCAAAGACGGTAAAACCGCTCACAGATTTCCCAGTCACGCATAGACGCCAACACATCGAATCGCAATGAGTAAAATACGACGAGCGTGACACGGAGCAGGACGGAGGCACGGAGAGAGGAAGTCGAATTGCAGGAGCGATTCGTGCGAGCAACAGCCGCGCGCTACATCACGCGGGACATAACAAGACAGAGCGACGCGCGGAGAACTGCAAATGGTCGGGCGTCAAGCGGGAAACTTGCCGCCGAGGAAGAGACAGGAGAGTGGCGACGGACAGCGCCATGCGCTACGCGGCGCCCCAGCGCCCCACGCTGCGCACTGTCACAGAGCGGGGCGCCCAAGGCTCAGGCCAAAGTGCGAGTTGATGCCTTAAGTCCGTGGATGTCTGACATGAAACGGGGATACCACTTTGAAAATGCGAACGCGCCCACTGGGGTCCATCGGTGAAACCCCGAGAAAAGCATGACACGTGTGAGGTTGTGCCGGAATGGGCGCGGCGACGCCATGCGAACGCACCCACTGGGGCCCTCGGTGGAGCTCCCTAAGGGCCACGTGTGACGGGTGTGCCGAAATGGGCGAGGCGACGCCATGCGAACGCACCAATTGGGGCCCCCGGTGGAGCTCCCAGGTGGCCACGAAACGTGTGAGGGGTGTTCCGATATGGGCGGGGCGACGCCATGCGAACGAACCTACTGGTTCCCTCGGTGGGGCTTCCTGGGGGGCACGAAACGTGTGAAGGTTGTGCAGAAATGGACGGGGCGACGCTATGCGAACACACCCATCGGGGCCCTTGGTGGGGCTCCCTGTAGAGCCACGAAACGTGAGGGGTGTGCCGACATGGGCGGACCGGCGCCGTGCAAGCGCATTCACTGGGTCCGTCGGTGGAACTCCCTGGGAGGCAGGAGAAGTGTGAAGGGTGTACCGTAGGCGAGCTGATGCCTCCCAGGCGAAGGGTGTGCCAAAGGCGAGACGGCAGAAGGCGAGTTGATGCCTCAACTCCGTGGGTGTCTGAGCGCTGCAGATTCAAAACGAAGACCCAACACACAGGAGGGATGGGGAAAAATGCAAGGGCTTCACGGATTGAGAGCGGTTCCTTTTTCGAAATGTGTGCGTTTCGCCCTAGCACCGCGCACATGCGTTTAAACTGTGGCAATAGATTCAATGGTTTTCATGGTTACCATACCAGAAGTGATGGTTTGGAACGGTTCGGGATTGTCAGGACGCAACAATTGATTCGCGATGTTGAAATCACAGGAACGGCGCTCTGGCACGATTCAAGATCGCGAGGACGTAACCGCCAGGTTAACTCGTAGCGTTGACGTCCTGCGAATGGTGTTCTGGCACGCTTCACGATGTTCACACACTTGTCCCCCCAACGGGAAAATTCCTTTAGTGGAAATGACCCTCTTCTATAAGGGGCCCATGAAGAGGGATCTTGGAGCGCGGGTGGTTTTCAAAATATAGCTGTCACTGTCGCTTGAGTGCCGCGCACATTCGTTCTAAGAATTAGCAATGCTTCACGGATTGAGGGATGGCGGTCTTCAAAACGTGGTTCCCACTATAACGCCACGCACATTCAATTCAAAACTTGCGCGGGCGTCGCGAATGGAATGCAAGTCGTTTTCAAAATGCGCCTCTCGCCCCAAAGCAGCGCACAAGCTTCACGGGTTGAAGGCGGCCCCTTTTCGGAATGTAGATCTCGCCTTAGCGTCGCGCCTTAGATGTTTGCAAGAATTTCACGGGTTCCCACGGTCGACGCACCGGTTTGGAACGACTCAGCAATGCCAGGGCGTATCCGTTAAGTTGATTCGCGGCATTGAAGTGCCAGGGCTGGCGTTCTGGCACGATTGAGGATCGTCAAGACACAACATGCAAATTGATCCATGGCGCTGCAGTCCCGATACTGGTGGCTTGGCTCGCTTGCGGATAGTCAAACGGCAGTCTACCAACGGGGCGCTTCCCTCAGTGGATACACACCCCTGCAGGGGCCTGTGAAGAGGCAAATTGGAAGGAGGGTTTACACTGCTCCTCCTTCTCATCATCATCCTCGAGTTTCATCCCACATCAGCAGCGCGCCGACGGGCGGGCGACCGGGCGTCGCACGCAGTGCATTACCTCCCTGGCGCGGTCGTCTGCCACGGGCGAACTGGATCGAAAACATCACGATGCAAATAAAAAGGCACAACTGGTGGGAAGAAACGAAGACCGAGACGGAGAAAGGAGACCGAGGCGGGCAATGGGGCAAGAAGGCAACGGGGCGAGGGCAGAGCAGAAGAGGGCACGAGAGAAATGAGGACAACACCAGAGATGGCGAAAGTTACACGATGAATCACAATTGAAATAACACACGCCCTGCTCTTGAAGGCTACTGCTGTAATCCATCCGCGGCAGTGTTTTCAAAAAGACGGCACGCCAGGCGGGAGGAAGAGGGAGGATCTGGGTGCGGACTTTGTCCCACGAGATCGATTGGATAGCTGGCAGATGTTGTGGAAACCATCCTCGCAATCTCTTGTCAAACAGAGCGGCAAGTCGATCAGGGAGGTGGGAAGTAAGAAGTTGAAGAAGACGACGTTGTGGATGAATAGCTTTAAGATGAGGATGGGGATTGGCGAGCTTGTACTTTATAACAGTTTCAATGGCGAGCCTGGCGACGTTTTTGACTACCTTGTTGTTGGGAAACACGTTTGAAGCCTCATGTAAGTTAGCAGCAAAAGCTGGGGAGCGCCAGAAGGAGGGCCATTGGGTACCAGCCACCGGTCGTACCAGAGAATACTCTTCCGCACAAACTTCCGCCAAAGAGCGATAAGACCCGGACCAACATGTGAACGAAAAAAAACTGGCCCTCATCAGCTGCACGAAGCATAGCACCTTGAGGCTTTTGACTCTTGACCCGCCCCACGAGACCGAGTTAGGCCATGCTGTTTCCGTCAGCCTGCAGAACGGCAAATTAATGATGCTCGTCAGGAGCTTGAACTTCTGCTTCTGGAGCGACACTGGCAGGGATTGACATTGGCTCACGTACAAGAGCACAGACACAACCCTGGGGTCGGCCGAGAAAGCTCGCGGGAACGCGCAGCATATTTCCCGAAGGGGTTTGGCCCAGGAGGTGAACGCAGAAACCCCAGGGCCAATCCAAATCCCCAAGTACAACACCGATCCCACGATCGAGAAGTCGCTCCACTCGGGGACGCTCCGCCGCAGCCTCGTGCGGTAGAGCTCGGAGATGGGCTCGGAGAAGAGTTGAGGAGGGGGACGATGGGAAGTCAGCACAACACAGCTGCGGGGGGCTCTTGTCCAGGAACCGGTCGGCTCCCTCAGCGTCGAAGGGTTTTTCAGTAAAAGCAGGCCCCCAGTGAGATGCAAGAGCTTCCAATACCTTAGTTGGCGTCTGGACGATCCGCTGATACCCAGTGCGCACGCCAGCGAGCGGGGTGCGGCGATCAAAAGGGGACCACAATCGGGCAAGGCGCTGAGCGCGGCGAGCACGACGGGTCGGCCTAACCGAGCGGGCCTGATCCGAGAGCTGCCGGACGTTCGCAGGAATCGCTGAGCTGGACGTTCTGTCGAAAAATGTGGAGGGTGCGCGAGAGCTGGGAGAAGAGCACGGTGGGAGATGAGGGAGACCGCCGTCGCGTCGTAGCATATCTGGAGGTGGTCTCGGCAGAGGGAGTGGGAGCGGAAAAAACTTCTCGGCAAGCGGGATCTGCTGGCGGAAGACTGCACGGGCGATGCTCCTAACCATCACGTACTTGACCAGGGAGGAAGTAGGGTTCTTATGAATAATGGTGTTTCTGGCAAGTCCGGCACATTCAAGAATCACGTTTTTGACATAGGCAAGACAAAGAGGACGAGAAAGGTGATGGTAAGGAGCGGCATCTAGCGTCTGCTGCATAAATGTCTTGAAGACCTTCGTGCGGAAAACCAACTTCGGGACGGGTCGCTGTCCCGCAGGGAGCTCGTCACGAAGTCTCAGAGCAACAGCAACTGCAGCGTGATCAGCCTCCTCATCCTTCTCCTCCTCCTCCTCCTCCTCCTCCTCCTCCCTCTCCTCCTCCTCTCCTCCTCCTCCTCCTCCTCCTCCTCCTCCTCCTCCTCCTCCTCCTCCTCCTCCCTCCTCCTCCTCCCCCTTCCTCCTCTTCTTCCTCCTCTCCTCACTCCTCCTCCTCCTCCTCCTCCTCCTCCTCCTCCTCCCCCTCCTCTCCTCCTCCTCCTCTCCTCCTCGACGGCGACAGCGGCGGCCGTGGCGGCGGCGAGTCCCCCCCCCCCCGCGCCGCCTTCTTCGCCGGCAGCGCGTCGAGGCGCCTGCGCAGCTCCGCCATCTTCTCCCGCTTGCCTGGGCGCGCCAAGGAGGAGGAGGAGGAGGAGGAGGAGGAGGAGGAGGAGAGGAGGAGGAGGAGGGGGAGGAGGAGGAGGAGGAGGAGGAGGAGGAGGAGGAGGAGGAGGAGGAGGAGGAGGAGGAGGGGGAGGAGGAGGAGGAGTTTTTGCTGTAGGCGACTGCCTCACTAAGCTCCCGCGGGGATTAGAGGGCAGGCATGAAAATGGCGGGCACACGAGGCCCTACTCAGCCTCGAACGTATCCCTGTCCCTAGGATTGGCACGCCAAAAAGCGATGGTAATTAGGGAGTCGCCCTCAAAAAGTAAGGGAATCCCTAAGATTGGCATCGTGATGAGGAGGTGCCCAGCATAGGGATAGGGATATGTTCCAGGCTGGTAATCAGGGTGAAATCCAGATGGGCTTCTGCACCTCGAGAGTCAATCCGTCTTGTGGTTCACCTTTTTCAGATCCAGGCCTCGAAAATCAATCGAGACGGCACTTCAAATTTCACCCTCCGCCCTCCACCCAACGAAAATGCTCGGCTCAGGGCTGTCAAGCCAAGGGGGCCACTCACCCGGATGAGCCCTGAGAGGGGCCCAGGATTGAGCCGGCTTCGACGGGGCGGAACGGAAACAGCTGGCAGCAGGCTGGATCAGGCCCGTGCTCGACCTCGGGACTACCAGGAGGAGGAGGAGGAGGAGGAGGAGGAGGAGGAGGAGGGGGAGGAGGAGGGAGGAGGAGGAGGAGGAGGAGGAGCTGCATGCAGCCTCCGAGGAGCTGCGCCCTCGCGGCCGTCCACGCGCGCAGGCTCCTGGCGATGATCGGCCTGCCCAGTGCTGGCAACGCTGTTCTCTCGATCTCCCGCGCTGGGGGGTCCGCTTTCGGGGCCCGGGGGCCCGCGAAAGAAAACATATTTGAAGGGAAACTGGGACACACAAATAAATACACACAAATAAAAATATTCCCCATGTTTTCCATATGTTCTGGGTTTTTGTCTTCCCCCCCACTTCCCATAGTTTCCCATATTTTCCTGGGGGATCGACGATTAATTGTGTCTGTGTGTTTTTTCCTCTCCTGAATCTTCTGGAGGCCGAAGAAGTGCTCCTGGGGAGAAGTCGGGCCCCAGCGGACTGAAGAAGATCATCCACAAGGGATCTTGGCAGCCGGGGCGCCCTGCAGTCAGCCCGTAGAATCAGGACGCACGATAAGGATGCAAGGGCCTTGGGAGGCCACGTCGGCACCGTGCGAGCGGGGCGCGACCAGCGAAAGCGGCCAAGGATGGGCCGAAGGGGAGGGATGCAAAGGTACCCCTGGAAAGTTGCTATCATCCCTACTATGCGAGTTGACTATATGAGGCCCGATCTGCGTGGAGAGTGTGTGTGTGTGTGTGTGTGCCCAACGGAGGCGGGAACGCCAGGCACGCCTGACAGAGGCAGCAGCCGGGGTCCCCTCATGGGGTGCGATGGTAGGGGAAGGGGCAGCGGGAAGACGGGGAGGAGAAGGAGAACAGGACAACAATACGGCCACGGGGGGGGTGCACAAACCGAAACTGTGCCCGAACATCTGCCCCACTGTGACCGAAACCGGCGCCCGATTTTCCCGAATGCGCCAGAATGTGACCGAAATTCTCGGTTCGAAACCGAATATATTTTCAAGCTCGGTCAAACTTTCGGCCACACTACGTTGTCGGTCGCAATTTCGGGCACGTTTTCGGTCACTGCGCTATGCTCGGTCACGTAACTTTCGACTGATCAGGGCCGGGCGCCATGAAATTACATTCCTCGTCTAGATCTGAGGAACGGCACGGAAACCAGAGTCCCTGCTGAACTGAAAGTGGTCCTTACTTCAGCGTCTTGACTGCACCGATCATTCGTTCAAGCCTCCCTGCCTGCACGGGGCACAGACGACGAAGACGACAACGACGACGACGCCGACGCCGACGCCGACGCCGACGCCGAAGCCGACGCTGACGCCGACGCCGACGAGGAAGCCGACAACGACGACGACGGTGGCAGCGGCGGCGGCAGCGGCGGCGGCGGCGACGGCGGCGGCGGCGACGCCGACGACGACGACGACGCCGACGACGCAGGATCAGGGAGAGGGCGGAGCGCAGGGGCCCCCCCCCCAGTCGCCCTCGTCCAGCGCGTCCAGCGTCGGGCTGGCGAGCCCATGCTCGTCGGGCCCGAAGGTCTCCTCACGCGCGGCCGGGCGCGGCCGCGCGCGCGGGTGGCGCGGCGCTGGGCGGCCCCGCCGCGGATCGAGAGAATTGCGCGCCCACACCGCGCCGGAGCCCCGCGCCAATTACAGTTGCCATGTTGTTACAACCCACTGGCAAGGCACGCGCACGTGAGATAAAAGTCCGCGCGGCTGATCCACGTTGGGCCCGCGACGTACTCAGACGTATACCATGACTTGCAGCACTCAGGCGGACGTGCATCCCACTTGCAGGCGCCTTGCAGGCGGGTCGCAACCACAACTGTTGCAAGTCGGACCGACCACTACAACAAAGCCCATGCCGGGGGACGCGCCGGAATCCACGCCGGGGGGCCGTGCAGAAGCCCGCGCGGGGGCCGCAGCAGACCCCACCCACGAGGAGGCTCGGTGGCGAGGCGAAGCGAGGCTGGGCGAGGCGCAGTGCAACACAGCGCAGCGAGGCAGGGCTCGGAGGATCGCGCCGCATCGCCGATGATCGCCGATGCGACTCGATGTGGAGCCTGATTTGCTCCGCGCTGGCGTCGCCGATGCACCGCCGACGTCGCCGATGCATCGGCGATGCATCGGCGACGTCGGCGCGATCCTCCGAACACATCTACTCGAACCCCATCTGGGATGGCCTCCAGTAGAGCGGAAGCGATGGGAAGCGAGGCAGGGCGGAACGAAGTGGAGCGGAGAGAAAGGAGGCAAAAAGGTTCCAGGCAAAGGCGTTTTGTGGATGAGTCCCGTTTTTGCATGTTATGTCCGCTTTGGTCCTCGCTGGCATCTGCATGACCATGTCAAGCATCGCTTCACACCGCGTCTAGGGGCGAACGCATCTTCTTTGAACAAGTCCCGAAGCTTGAAACGTAGGGATCCTCATTGGAAATCGCAGAGCGAAGAGGAGGAAGGCAAAGAAGGCAAAGGCAAAGACGCTTAGAGTATGAGCCTCCGGTCCTAGCCAAGGCCAGGGAAAGAAAAACACGGTGCGCATGCGAATTTCTTTATGGATTAAGGGCCTTGGGCCAGCTTCAGTTTCCAAAATCCCGAGGCCTGCCTTGGTGCCCTGCTGGCGCCTTCAATCGAAGGCGACTCGACTTGCCTGAGAACAACTGGGGCGCGCGGATCGGGAGCTGGTGGCGAAATCGCACGTTGCGAACTCCCACCCCGAGGAGATCGACCAACTCCCCTGCACCGGGAACCGTACCTGGAAGCATCCCCGCCCCTTCCTCCGCTCCCCTCTCACCCCCCCTCCCCTCCCTCTGTTTGCAGAAGTCGTTCGGAGGATCGTGCCCGGCCCCGCGCGGCGGCGAATTCCTGCAAGCCCATGCCACGCGTGCCCGCTCGAGGATCGGGCCCCTCCCTTCTCGGGAAGGCCCCCCCCCCAGGAACTCCGACAAAACGATGCCGCGCGCTTTCCTCCCCGAGGGCCGTGGCGCACTCTCATTCTTTCTCGGAGAACGGCGGGCCGACGGTGGGGGGGGGGGGAGGCGTCAGGCGGGAAGGCAGGGGAGAGGGGAAGGAAGGCGGAAGGGGCCCTGGGACACACAGAGAAATACACACAGATAACAGGATCCCCCCATATTTTCCCAGATGTTCTGGGTTTCTGTCTGCCCCCCCAGTTCCCGTATGTTCCCATGTTTTCTGGGGAGTCGACGATTAATTGTGTCTGTGTGTGTGGTTCCCCTCCTGGAAGGCAGGCGAAAGCAGGAAGGGGCGGGGGCAACAGCGCCCGCCCCCCCCCCCCCCTCCGCCGCGAGAAGCGGGTAGCGTTGGGTCGGGCACGTCCTCCTGCAGGTGGATTTGGGAAGAAGAGATGGAAAAGGATATCAAACGCGGTTAGAAGTCGTCCCCGGACTATGTTTTGACTATGTATGAATATTCCCCCTGTAGAGGGACATGCCCGACGTTAGTTAAGGGTGGCGCCCAGGACGGGAGAGGGGCGAGACGACCACTAACCAGCTTTTTTTTGAGCTCAACGCCCGCGCAGCCTTGGTGAACAAAAAGCACAGCAGCGGTGGCTGGGAAACCACTGCTGGCCGTGAGGGAGACCTCACTGACCGAAAGAGTACCTCCAGCAGCCCCATGGGCTAGGAGACACTGGCCACACGACGGGCGACCGCCCCGTGGCCAGAGCAAGGGAAAAACAGTCCAGCGCCGCTGCAGGGCATACGGTCGGGGAGGGCAAATCCGAGGAGGACGGCGATGACGACGAGGCGGCGCGCGCCAGCGAGCGGGGCACGGGGGCTGGCGTTCCGGGGGTGCGGCGGGAGCGGAGTGCTCGAGTGGACACGCACGGTCAGAACTCTGGCGAAGAGAGAAATCTACAGGGCTCGAGCTGGACAATGTCTGTCGTGTTCGTGCTGTTTTCGATGTCGTTCGTTTTGCTGTCGTTCTTCCTTTGCTGCGAAACGAGATCAAGGCGAAAACGGTTCACGAAATCGCCAAAGCACCGTTCAGCTCGAGCCCTGGAAATCTGTCAGGGGCGCGTTCGTCGTCACGTGGGGTGTCCCCCAGGCCTTCTGGGTGCCCCTGGGGAAATCGGGGGAGCTGCTGGCAAGCTGGCAAGGAACCATGGGATATAGAATCCGAGACCTGGAAGCTGGTGGACCTCCCATGGTGGACCAGTCATGGACATCACCTCCGCCCTCATCAGATAAGGACTCCTCCAAGGTCTGAAGCAGCCCAGGCACACTCCTTACCCATCGCCCACACCGTGCATGCCTCCTGGGCACGGCAGGCGGGCGAACACTCCGATCCAGGGCCCGGGCTGGGGGGAAACCGCGAGGTACCAATGCCGCCTCGTACTCCCAGGGCCTCTCCTATAGTAGAGGCCTGCTATATGGGGTCCGAGTAGATCGGGTCGGAGGATCGCGCCGCATCGGCGATGCATCGGCGATGCATCGGCGATGCACCAGCGACGCTGCATCGGCGACGTCGGAGTGGGGAAATGCGGGCTCCACATCGAGCCGCATCGGCGATGCATCGGCGACGCGGCGCGATCCTCCGACCCCATGTACTCGGACCCCATCTGGGAGGCCTAGATATAGAGCGCGCTCTGACCAGTATTCCGAGGCGAATCCAGCAAGTGGAGACGAGGGCCCTCCAGGAGGCCCCCAAAAGAGGCGGGGCAGCGTCCGTGCCAGCCGCGGGGGGGTCGGCCCCCGCTCGGAGGGCTCCAGGAGGGGCCTCTCGCGGAGGGTGGGAGAGGGCGGACTCGCCTCGGGGGGCGGGGGGGGGCAGGAGCGCCTGCGAGCGGACAGCCGCCCTCCCACTGCCAGCCTCGAACGTATCCCTATCCCTAAGATTGACACGCCAAAAGGCGATGACAATCTTAGGGATTCGCCCTCAAAAAATAAGGGAACCCCTAAGATTGGCATAGGGATAGGGATATGTTCCAGGCTGGTAATCCCACCTCTGGCTCTGGTCCCGCCCGCCAGCCCCCCCCCTTCCCCGCAGGGCCAGGACCACGACGACGACGACGGCCACGACCACGACCACAGCGACAGGGACGACGGCGAGGAGGACGGCGACGACGGCGACGGCGACGTCGACGGCAACAACGACGACGACCACCACCACCACGACGACGACCACGACGACCACCACGACCGCGACCCCGACGACCACCGCGGGCCGCCGGGGGCGACCGCTGGCCGAGAGGGCGGCGCGGGGGCCCGGCGGGGCACTCGCCTGCCGCGCTGGGGGCGCGCCCTGGGGCGCGCCGCTGGAGGCCACCGCCGGGGCCCGGCGCCGGCAGCAGCCGAGGAGGCCCCTCGCGGCAGGCCTGGGCGCCTCCGCGCGCGCGCGCCGCGCCACGCCGCTGCGACAGCGGCAGCGGCGGCGGCGGCGGCCTCGGCGGCGGCGGCGGCGGCGGCGGCGGCGGCGGCGGCGGCGGCGGCGGCGACGACGACGACGACGACGACGACGACGACGACGACGACTTTTTTCATCCATCGACTTCGGGGAAACAAAAATCCACATTGCTTGAGTCTGTGGACTGTGTGCGAGCAAACAGCAGGGGAGGGGGCAGCGCCAGTGGCAGCAGAGAAGGCCTGGCGTCTTCCGAGAAAGCGTGCCCCCTTGCACCTACCCCCTTGGACCCGCCGCCGAGTGGAGGAGGAGGAGGAGGAGGAGGAGGAGGAGGAGGAGGACGAGGAGGAGGAGATGGAGGAGATAGAGGAGGAGGAGGAGGACGAGGAGGAGGAGGAGGAGGAGGAGGAGGACGAGGAGGAGGAGGAGACCTTAGACCTTAGACCATCTCATGGAGTCCTGCCTGTGCCAACAAGCCGCACTGCTTCTCTGCCTGAACTCAGACCGCAATTCGACACGCACTAGGACTCTGAGGCGGGTCACTACGGACCCCACATTCACTCCCTGAGGCGAGACCTTCGCTCACCCCAGCTGAGGCACTGGCCCCGACTGGCAGGCCAACAGGCACGCAGCCCGCACATGGCCGCCAGCCCAAAGGCTCAGAGGGCTCCTCTCCTCCCCCGCCCCCGCCCCGACCCACCACCCCGACCCTTCCCTCTAGCCTGCAACGGCCTACTACGAGGCAGCACTACGGTCGGGATTGGCGGCAACCCAGGGTCACTGTACGTCGTAGCCGATCGTGCTCGACTTGGACGCCCCAGAATATCTGGTGCCACCAATCCTCTAGAAATCAACTCCTGAAGCCGCGAACTTCCACTCAAGCTCCTCCTGACTTGTTCACCCAGGCCATAAGCTCCCTCTCTATGGGCCCCCGCGGGGCCGATCCTCCCCGCCCTCGGCCTCGATCACCGCCTCTAGGATCCTCGACGCCTCCACGCCCATCGGCTTGTTGAAGTCGGTCCGCATCATGATGATCGCCCTGTTCTCCTTCTTCAGCGGCTTGCAACGAAAATACGGAACCGCCCTGCCGATCACTTTCAGCGAGATGTCCTCGCTCATATACCGCTGCCACCACTCCTTGCTGTCCTGAGCCAGTTGCTTCTCGACCTCTTCCGTAGATCCCGCTGTAGGAGTCCGCGTCGCACAATACTGCATTGACAATACGAAAATCTGGAGGTGCGGGGGGCCCCTGCGCTTGAAGTCCTGCTCTTCCCCCGCCTGCTGCTTGGCCCTCATGTCCTTGCTCTGCTCGTCGTACTTTTTGCCCGCCACGGACAGGCAAGCTGGAAGCCCTCTGTCGAGGGCGATGTCCCACCTGAGGAACACGACACTGGTCACGTCCCCGAGCTCGCGCGTCACGGTGAGCAGGAGGCGCACGACCTGCGCCACGACCTTCGCCACGTCCTTGTTGCCTTTGCCGTCGCCCTTCTTGGCATGCTTGTTGCCGCTGCCCCCCGTCGGCTGGCCGCCGCTGCCTGCTGCTCCAGCGCTCGGCGGCGGTGTGGCGTCGCCATCTCGCTTCCTGCCGCTGAACCAGGACGGCAGCGCCAGCTCCGCCATCGAGAGCTGCTCGCTGGTGCGTAGACCGTGCGGCACTCAGAGGAGGTAACTTCCAAGGAAGATGCTCTGAAGCCAAATGGTTACATAGATCAGGGAGATCGCCAGCTTCGTACAGACACAAGGAACACATTAAGGATCGAAGCTGCTGTAGTTCCCCCAATGCCCATGGTCCCGTAGTACAACCGCTTCCCCTCAGAATAGACCCCAAGAGATGCCGTGAAGCTGTGATCTTACTCGAGAAAATATGCCTGCAGTGCACACATATGTTCGTGGGTGTGATCACATGCGCCAGACTACGTACATTGTGATGAGCACGATAGTGGTTCATAAGTGCTTTACGTGTGTAAAAAGCAGCTCCACATAGGCCCGTCTCCGCACCTGCCCTGCACACGTGCTGTGGATCCCCATCTGGAGCTGCAGGAGGTCCCTCGAGCCCCGCTGACGTCGGTACGAAACCTGGTGGTGGGACCTGAACCCGAGACCTCGGAGCCCTGAGCACCCCCATGTCAATCCTGCAGAAATCCTCCATCTCCTCCTTATTCCCGAACACACTCATGTCATTAAGCAGCACATCGATCGCCTCGCTATCGACGACACCCGCTGCAAACTCACGATCGTGCGTCATCTGACACAACCACGGGGACGCTGCCTCAGATGGGACCCCTTCGAGCAACTGTGGTGGGAGCCCATACTCTGCCTCGCCCTCAAGATCCCCGAACATCGCGCACAACGGTTGGATGTGATGATCGGGTCGCTCAGCCCAGCTCTGGCACCACTTCAAACGACGGATTCTCATCTCGCACTCGCTCTCCAGCAGTCTCCAATAGAGAAGGACCTGGGGGTGAGTCAGAGAGCGTGTCCTATTTTCCTCCCTGAGCGTGGCGCGACCAAGCATCGCGATACGAGCGAGAGAAGCCAAGCAATTGTCCAGGCGCCGATAGTCGGCCTTGCTGAGCACAAACGCTTCCAGGCCAGACAGTAGAGCATTCTGAACATTGCCCACCAGCAGAAGCTCGCGCAGCTTAAAGGGGATCGCCAACGACCAGATCCCTCCAATTCTGTAGAATGCAGTACGTGTAGCTGAACACCTCCTAGTGACCTCCTGGCGACTCGAATCACGAACTCGAATGCGTGGGCCCAGATACCTCACGCTGTCTTTGGTTTTACCCTGGATGCCCTCGATCCCCTTTCGAACCACCTGTCGAGCTCGATTCCCCTGGGATGCGAAATACGTCAAAAACTCTTGCTTCCCGAGATTCTGAACGTACCCGAACGGCTTCACCACCGAGTCGAAAACCTCGTCCATCTTACGAACCTTCCTAAAGAGGTCCCCCAGGGTCATCTCGTCGGAGGCCACTACTGTTTTGTTTACGTCACCGGCATACTTCAACAAACTCAAGTCTCTCTGGAAGTTCAGCCATTTCGATGCCAAGAAGCGGGACATCGGGTCGGACCGACTCCACTGGTATGCCCATTGAAGCGTCGCCCGAGAGAACGTGCCTAAAAACGCGGCCACCGTGAAGGGCCCCCCCATGACGCCACCTTGGAACGGCTTCACCAACAGGGGCCCCATCATCAGCAGTTAACTCAATCATGCTATCCTCGTACCGCTGCTGGCAGAGGGCGCGGTTAGCCTCCGAGGTGGAGTGAGCAATAGTGATCTCTAATTCGGACCAGTCCGAGCCCCCAAAGGCATTCGCCATATCCTTGAGGCTCATGACGAAGGAGCGCCGAACACGGCACAGTCGCCAACAAGTCACCTGGGCGATGAAAATGGCGGCCTCGCGCCTCCTGTGGGCGACGAAGCCGTGGTCTTGCTGAGAGGGCACAACATTCAACATCTTGGAATAAAAAGCTTTCCCAAGAACAGGCAACACATGTACAACTCGTTTTCCTCGGGGACCGTGCTGTGCGCTTTTGGGTGGGCCAGCCCCTCGACTACGATGCCAACATAGCGGGGCCTTCTGAGAGTGTCGGACCTTCGCGAGGCCCACCGAGAGGATCCACCAGAACCCAGGAACCTTGGGCATCGACTCGTCATATCCTACTCCCCCTTGTTGTTGCGCCGCCCTCCAGTTGGGGTAAAGTAGCTGGTGCCAAAGCTCTAGAGGCGCACTCCCTTCGGGAACTGCTCTCCTCTTCGGAGCCCTCTTGATGTGAGACCTGATCAACTTAAAACCCTGATGGGCTAGCTCCTGCTCCTCCTCCGTCAGGTCCCAGTCGTACGTCTCCCCCTCCCTCTCAGCCCTCCAAGCTTCCCAGTCTGCCTCCTCCACCATCATACCTCCTTCACCCCCGGGAGCTCGCCAGACTTGGAGCCACTCCTCCCGACTCGGAGGGGGCCCCTGCACCAGGCGCCCGTCTCTGTTCTTCGGGCCCATTCTACAACGAGCCGCACGCCTGGGTAGTGAGAGCGCTTCAGAAGTACACCGCCGTCGCCACTGCTCCGACGCCTCTTCCACCAACAGAGAGCGAAGAGATCTGGCAGCGCGACGTCGTTCAGCAGAGAGTTCGGCGGAAAGAACGCGGAGCTCAGCATCAACCCGCTGCGCTTCGCCATCACTCATGCCCAACTTTGTGCCACGAAGACGAACCCGTGCAGCCAGAAGTTGACGCCGTCTCTCCGCATTTCCTCTGCACTCGGGACTGGTACGACTTGACTGTGAGAAAATTCGCTGTCCAGCAGAAATTAGTGCATCTTCCAACCGCTCGAACAGTTCGTCGGGGGAGGCCTGATCTTTCAAGAAGGCAAAAGGTAGTTTGTCGATCTCTTCCTTGGCCGCCATCAAGTACTCACGTCTGCCTTTTCCCTGGCGAAGTGAAGCCATCATGAGATCTCGGTTCCAGCGGAGCTGCGTAGAAGTAGGTCCTCCCAGCAAGCCGGCCTTGTCGTAAGTCAGCGCGCACATCACAGGTACATGATCCCGCGGCGATTGTCCACGAATTGCTTGTAGTTTGGCGCCAAGCCCCTTCAAGGGGAAGCACCCTCTCACCAAATGCTGCATCGCCAAGGGATAAAAGACGTAGTCGATACGACTCGAGGCGCCTTCGGGCCCAAAAAAAGTATGTTGAACCTGACCAGCTGTATTACCAGCCACCATGAAATTAGACTCCACGCACTCCCGCATCAATTGTCCTGCACCTCGAGGCATCATCTCCTGCGTCGGTACATCGATAACCACAGAAGTGCCAACATCTTCCCACCCATGAGAGCCACGAGACTGACCAATCCCATCATTGAGATCACAATAGAGCAGTGGGGTGCATCGATGTGGTAGTTCACTCAACACGCATGACAGCCATGTCACTAAGAGACGTACAGTCGATAGATACTGAGGCCTCTGAGCACGATACTTTGGTCT